GCGAGCGAGCCTTCCGGCAGTAGCATCAACATCCCGCCACGTGCTACCCGAGTTAGTTGGAGTGATGAGCCCCCATCTGGGGACAACGGAACAGCCCAGGAATTAAATGGACAGAGAGCGTGCCTGGAGATTTACACGGAAGTTTGCCGCGAAACAGAAACCTCCCGCACCAGCGACAAAAATCACTGAGAACTTCGCCATCACGTCACCCAAAACAAACAAAACACCGAAAGGTTTTCACCTCGACAGACCCTGGTAAATGCCGAATCAGTAACGGTACCGTCAGACATCGGCCTAGTTACTAGTTTTCGTTCCTGACTCCACTGGGTCCTTGAACAAACAAAACCCCCGACTCTGGTTCCCAGCGGTTCCTCTAACAAAACAAAACCCTGGTTCCGCTGGTTTTATCGACAAACCGAGATCCTGGACTTGATTCTTTTCTTAGTTGTGACAGGCACTCCAAGACACTCCAAAGCACCACGCATACTCGTGATTCGGGAAGGCTTGTTTGCGCCCGTGCTCTGGCACAAATCGGCGTCCGTCCTGCCATTATCTCTATCACCCATTTTTCCACCAATGGACGGGGGCTGGGATTCCACACAATCAGTTTTGTACATGTACCTGGCCCCGTTCGTAAACTATAAAAAAGATGAACGCCGTCTTAAGACACGACATTAGACTGTACTCACTAACACAGGCTTCTTTAGATTAAATCAGCGTTTTCCCAACCATGACTGAAAACTAGCAAGTTGTAACCTACCATTGCAAAGCGCTTGAGGATCTCACTAACATCGATATGAATCGTTTTCAATCGTGCAAGCAACCGGAAATGAGATCTGTTTCCGCGCACGAGGACTTCTTTTCCGGCCAGACCTGAATCTGACAGGCACGGCCATCAAACCGGAACGAGCACTCCGGGCAGGGTTCCAGCACGGCGGGGAAGCTGGCACGATCAAAGCTTTACAATTCCACGACCGCCATGATGGATCCGTCGTCTCTCTGACGACGGTCTTCCACAAACGTTTGTCCTTTTGACGCGAACATGACGACCACGCCATGGCGGTCAGTGCCAGCGACCATGCTCGGCTCGGCAGTGCCAGCGATCAGGCTCAGCAAATGACAGAGGGTCCACGGAGAAAGAAAGCAGGAAATGGGACAGAACAAAAGAACGGAACTGTGTGCTGGGGGTTGCAGCCAACTAAACTAAAGAGGAATTCTGCACGGACGGCTCGGATGGGATAATATTATGTGGACACAGTTGACCCACGATCCAAAGCAGAGTACGGGTGGTGGCACACCAGTTTGGTACAAGCGCCGGCCGCTAACATGATTCGTGGTGATAACGACGCTAGATACGTAGTTCATCCTTGGAAGTTTATGTGTGTCTTATTTTATCTGGCCTTGACGGTTACCACCTCGCCAGCTTACAGGTATGCACAGCCCTTCCGTTTGTAAGCGTACCCATTCAACACGTTATACGATTAAGGAAAGTCAGACCAGGGTACGTCCTACACTCTACACAACGTTTGGTATCCAGCTCTTGCAAACCTTGTACAGCTTATACCCAATCTCATTTTACGTCAGATGTCATGATTGATGCTTTTAGACCGCCAACGAAATCAGACTTCGGTCTTTCCAAGTCACGGCGGTGTCCGTACATTCACAGGATACCTGGTTCAAGTCCGAGCAGCCTGTCACTCGTATAACATTGACAGGGCGGCCAGCTGCCCGTATTCCGGGACGCGTCGCGATCCTGACAAAGCGCGACCTTGACTTACAACCTACATGCACAATCATTATATTGTCGCATAGCATTAAATCGGTTCCGTGGCATGACTTTAACGCGCGCTCGGGTGGGGTCAATTTGTCCACCTCCGAGAGAATTTTTTTCAAACGGCGCGGCGTAGCCACGCTAAACTTTGTACCACTGTGGCATTGAATAGCGGATCTTTTCGCATAGAAATCAGAGGTACTTCGTGAGACCGTCTTCATTGACAGGTCACAGTTAGGCCGTGGCTGTCAGCGAAGGCCATTTTTAGGGAATCGTTCATCTGATGCGACAATAGGGTGCTTGATGAAGCCATACATGTCTGAGATAGCTTCTTAGGCAATCAAACAATTGAATTTAGAATTGCAAACAAATTCCAATGACCTAAGGTCACGAATAAAGATAGACCGAGGTAAAACGAACCAGCTTTCTTACTCGAGAGCTTGTTTCGTGAGGTACATTCTGACGCTCATTTCAAATTTCTTAATAACAAGGACTGCGAGAGTCATGTTCCGTGGACTTATTAAAGGTCAGGATAGGTAACTGGCCTAAAATGACCCGGGTCAATATTTGTTTTAGGAACCTACTGCCTAGCGTAGTCCTTGCCGTCCTATCCACATACCAAAGCAGAAGCAATCCCGAAGGTTTTTGGTCACCTTAACTCCTTTCAGATAAAAGGTCATTGACCTTCAATGAAAACTAGCGACATTTTGCTCACAATAGCTATCTAGGTCCCAAAGCGGAGGCATGAGGAGATCTGGGAGCACCACTGGACACCAGTCTACAGTTTTACCTTGTTTGGCCTTAGCTGACACCAAAGTCATAATCTAGGAACCTCAAATTCAGACAAAAGTGAGGTTACTTGCAGGCCAACCTACCTTATGAATTTGGTGTGCCTGGGTCCCTCAGTTTTCGAGATCTCGGGAGTTAAATTGACCCCCTCCCAAACGACCGAAGGGTATTCAATCGGCCAGCCGGGTGCGTGTTATCATATTTTCAAAGCTTGACCGGACGTAAGCCTGAACTGAGGTGAATACACCGTACACACTTCAGGCGTTCCACTTTGGACTATGAACCCACTATTGCTTGAGTAAACCCGGCATCAGCTTGAATATCATACTGCGATCGCAACTTCGAATCAGATTTGGAACTGTCACTGGCATTCATATGTTCATTGCGAACCGTTTGATATCATAAGAGCATCCAGACATTAAAATTTGCAGCACGCATTGAACAAAACTAACTGCACAACAATACACCACTTTTACATCTAACGCCTCTTCAAATGAGATCGCAGCTCTTTGAACCGACATCTGATGTAATAGTACGGTTCAAAACAGTCGAGTCAGGTTCACAGAACATTTCGGCAAGTGCCTCAAACAGCTTGCCGACGGACAAAAGACGGGACGAGCACTGGGTTGGCTGGCTGAGTTTCGGTAGCGCAGTGGTGTAACTGCGACCTGAGCTCTGCCCAATGAGGTGGCGCTTAGTTACATGCCAATGGGGAAGCCTTTAGTCCAAATATGGGTTTAACTAGAATCAGCTGATCTAACCCCGTGGAGACGTAAAGCGCGCAAGAATAACACACTGGGATATCGTTGAAATGCAAAGCTATTGGGAAGGGGTTTGTGGCTAACGACATCACCACGATCACAATATCGACATGAGACCGGGGCCTGCACATTCCCCAGATAAACAGGCAATAGCGCACCGACCGTCGGTATGGGTTGCTATGTTGGAACCGATGAGTTGCTTGTAAACAAACGCACTTACTTCGCCTCTCGGGAGGGTAGGAAATGGGCTTGGATAGTGACGTCATAGGTAAGGATGGGCTTTGGTGGTGACGTCATAGGTAAGGAGTGGGCTTACCCCGAAGTAAGGAATGGCCCACATTGGCTCATGAACAACGGAGCTCAGAGGAGCGGAGTTTCATTTCACGCCATACCGGCCCCTTCCTACCCGCCTGAGACGAGAGGCAGGCGGCGCAATATAGCCTCCCCTGCCGAGTGCAACGTTCCAACGACAAAAACGCTGATCAGCTGGCTCGCTCCACTGGCGAGGGTGAGCTCGGTGCAGCACCACAGGTCCGCTGCGATGGCGGACGTACCTGAACACCGCGTGACGGGCGCCCCTGACCGCGCCGTCGACCCGGTCCCAGTACGCACCTGAGACGCGCACCTTCTTCATGGTTTTGCTCGAGTTGTTCTGCACGTGCACGTTGACGTTGATGGGTTCGCCGTGGTAGTAGATGTCTTTGTCAAGCGAGGCCTCCAGGTGCAGCTTGTTGGGCGACATCATGAACTCCTTGCTGGTCTCTACCGACGGCTGTTCGCCCGGCTTGGACGGCGCGTACATGATCTTGCGGATGGCTAACCGCACTGAGTTCCTGTAACAGCGGCGGACGGCGGTCGATCAGACGTTACGTCCCGCGGGGCACCTGGGGCGGCAAGCGCCGGCACGCGTCGACAGGTCAGCTGCCCACGCTAGCGGACGCCGCAGCTGTAGCCCCCGCTGTAGCCTCCGTTGCTCCTCTGACGCTGATCGGCGGCACACAATACAGCCGCAACGTACATCTCATATGTTGTGTTCCAGCATGTACATAACGTGTTTCAACAGAACACTAAAGCGGCGACTTTGTACGGCGAGGTCTTCCTCAGTTTTTTTTCTTGAGTTATTTTACCCTTCTACGTTACCCTCCTTATCTCACCTGCCAAATTTGGCCAAATAGATGACCTTATGTTCCTGTAAAATCGGAAGCGCTCCTGACGTCACCGCGACGTAAATATGACCTAAGTTTACGAGGTGAATGCATCTGCGTTTATATTGCGTTTAATGCATCATTTAATGCCGGGTGTACAGTACGATTACATAAGCACACTACGAAGTTATCATAACCAGTTTGTTGGATTACTTGAACTACGGTCCACATGTACGACAGTGCTCTTTGTGGCAACTATTTAAGTGAGCAAAGGTGGTCCAAGAACAACATTTTGATCGATTTACATTTCAAATATGCATAAAAGTGCGGAAATTCACGCCAGTACCAATTTCCCAACCGCGTGCGGCAGGGCTTGGTTGCATCATTTAATTTGTCCCGAAAAACCGGGGGAGTGCACTAAAACCTGCGGTGCCATGCACCAGAGGCGGGCCAGTCACCCCGCCTGCCGTCTGCCGGCGGCGGCCGGGGTCCGGCGCCGTCGGGCGGCTCCTGCCATCCACCAGCGGCCGTCCTCGCATGGCTGGGCAACACGAGCACCGCCAGAGGGCCGGCGGGCCTCAACGCTGAGTGGCCATCGACGCTCCGTGGCCGTCGGCACGGCCATGGCCGGCGGGCTTCCGCACTGAGTGGCCATCGGCGCGGCCGGGGCGGGACCCGTCAGCGACGGCCTGGCCGGCTGTCGACGACACCGGCTGCGGGGTCGGCGGGCGCGCGCGTCCGGTCACCCGGCGCGGCGATGCAGCGTCGCACGGGACCGCTGCGGACCGGCCCGGCGCCGGACCGCAGTGTGCGCTCGGGCCCGTGCCCGGGCTTCGGCTAGCGCGGCCGGGATCAGCGGGCTGTTCCGAGCGTGTGGCGCGCCCGGTGGGCCCAGACGGCCCGCCAGCGGCCGGCCTGCTGATCGGCTGCGTCACCCGACCACCGATGGAAGGCGGGTCTGAGTACGGCGGCGGCAGGCTAGCTCGGACGAGCACGCCCGTTGACCGAAGCGGCACGACCGGGGAAACCCACGCGTCAGGTACGACCTGCCAGATGTGACTCACGACGCCCGGACCGTCCCGCAGGTTCATCGTATGCCGAAGGGGACCAATTCTCCCGACTCCATGGTCCACTAGGCTGTCCATGCCGAGCTGTCACTGCTGGGGCTTCCGCGCGTCCTGACCGGAGCGGCCTGTCCTGAGAGCAGCAGACACCCAAGTCCCGCCAAGCGATGCATTCAAAATGGGCACGACCCGTAGCGTGGGTGGCTCCTGGAGGCTTGAACCAGAGCAGCCTCCACAGCACACCATTCGCGTCAGCCAAAGCCCGCCGGCGTCTGAGCCGACCGCTGAATCTCGGTGCCACCCGTCTGGGTCGACCGTCCCGCCGCGGGCGGGGACCGGGTCGAGCCAGACAGCATCGGCTTCGACGCCGGCCACCGACGCCGCCCAGGTGCGCGGGAGTTGCACGCCGACGCTGACGCTCCTCCGCGATTGCGCGCGCGGCACGCGGCCGGAGAGTTGGCTCGTTACCTGCGATAACGAGGCGCCGCCTGCGCCGTAGACGCCTCATCATCAGTGCGCTCGAGTGCGTGCTGGGCAGGGCACTGAGGCTGATCGCAGTGCCGGTAATGATCCCGGGAGGCATATAGCTGACCAGCTCGCCCAGAAAAACCGGAGACAACAGGCTTTTTGCGACTTCGTTTCCGCTTCATTCTCCATGCAGACGCGTTGCTCTATTTACAGGGATCACGCGAAAGGAAAACACAAAATAAAAACCGGCAGCGTGTACCTTTACCGTGGTTCCAGAAGTAGCCAATCACACCAAGACGAGCTCCTGCAGCAGACCATTAACACTGACGTCATACAACAGAGGTGAAGCGCACTAGGTGGCAATTTTTCTAACTTGCTCAGAGTGCCGTATAAGATCAGGCCTCGGCCCCGTCAGCGGCGATCATTCACCTGTAGCCTGGGCGAAGAACGCTGCGACCCTATCGATTCCTTCGCTCAACGACAACGACATGCGACCGGCGGCCTCCTGGCCTCGCATCGCGCAATCACCGGGATGTCGGCCCGATGCTGGAGCGCCTCTCGAGTGAGCGGTCAGGACGGCGCGCCGCCGGCGCCAGGCCGGCCCGCAGCTGGACTCGCCGTGCCCTTCCTTGGATCTCAGGCCCGGGCGGCTGCGGCCAATCTGTCCCGGCAGAGCACCGCCCAGCGGGCCATCTCGAGTTGTAATCCCCTGCGGACTCTTTGTCGGCGGTTGCAACAGGGCTCGGCGCGGGGCGGCCGCCGCCGACGCTGGCCACCGAGCGGTGAAGCTCATTGGCGCGTGGAGTGAAGTCAACCCGGACACCCGAGTTTCCAGCGACGGCGACGCTCGCGAACGCGTGCGGCTGGGTGCTGGTGATACGAACCGCCGCACGAGGTGCACCGGTCTTTGGATCAGCAGGCAGGTGTAACCGACACTCCACAGCCTTTGGGGCGACCGGCAGGCCTTCTGAGGCGTCACAGGTCGCTCGGACGCCGTGGAGTCAGAGCTCTGCTTTGGCAGCCCAACCGCGCCGGGCAGGGCAGGACAAGTCAAGGCAGGACAGGGCAGGGCAGGGCAGGGCAGGGCAGGACAGAGCAGGACAGGCAGGACAGAGCGGGGCAGGGCAGGGCAGAGCAAAGCAAAGCAGAGCAGGGCAGAGCAGGGCAGGGTAAGACAGGACAGGACAGGACAGGACAGGACAGGACAGGACAGGACAGGACAGGACAGGACAGGACAGGACAGGACAGGACAGGACAGGACAGGACAGGACAGGACAGGACAGGACAGGACAGGACAGGACAGGACAGGACAGGGCAGGACAACGGCAGGCGGCAGACGAGCCCGGAGCGGAGTCGGTAGATGCGTCCGTCCGGATGCCAGCTCAAAACATCCCGCAGCATCTCCACCTCCCAGGCAGCTTCTCACGAACAGCGCTGCTAAACTGTGATATGCTCTGATGCTGCTGGTGATGATAATTTGGGCTTTAGGGTGCACCCACAACCCTGGCCTTATGACGCCCATGTGCTCTGTTTTGAATAACGTCCCACACGACCTTTGGGTGGAACGACTCAATTGCCTCTCCCAATCGAACAGCATCCCGGATAAATCCTCTTTAGCCTCACTAACAACTACCGGCAGCTGAAAAGCTATATCGATGAGATCCCCTGCATGACCAGTCATGATATGGCCGTGACACGTGACCTGGGCTGGACCGTGACACGTGACCTGTGGTTGGACCGTGACACGTGACCTGGCCGCCGGACCGTGACACGTGACCTGACGGCCCGATCGAGACACGTGAACTGGCGCTGAACCACATCACTTGACCTACGCCCGATTCCTCATTGACTGACGACCCAAGTTTCGCGCCTGGGGGTGGCGTCGCAGACAGACGCCAATGAAGGACACCTTTAATTGCAAATATGGCCACCAGCAGAATCAGCTGATTCAACCCCATAGAGAAATAAAGCGCGCAAGAATGGCGCGCTTGGATATCATTGGAATGCAAAGCTACTGACAAGCGGTCTAAGGCTAACGACATCATTGTGGTCACACTATCCACATGGCACCGAGGCCTGTTTATTCGCCAGACAAACAAGACTAGGAAAAGCGCACCGACCGCGGCTATGCGTTGCTATGCCAACAGCAACGACCTACTTGCAAACAAACGCACTTACTTCGCCTCTCGGGCGAGCAGTGAATGGGACTGGGTCATGACGTCATATGTAAGGAATACTTTGCATCGCCAGTGAAGAGCATAGTCTTGCCGGCCGGACCGTGTAACGTGGCCCGGGGGCGGGGCGATCCGGACACTCGACCCTAGTTCCCGTCAGCCGCCGCTGTGATCGTGCTGGTATCCAGGAATACCCAGGTAATATCGGCCATGTCTCGCCGGCCCACTGGCAGCTGCCGCCGACAGGCTCCCTCGGGTCGTGCTTGCTCCACGTAGGGAACTGGTGTCCATCACACGGCTAACGCTGCACCCTATGCCTTGTCAAGGCGGGCGGAACCCGGTCTGAAGATTGCTCAGGGGACGCTGGAAGGATGGGCACCACGTACCAAAGGGCAGCGCAGACCCAAGGTTGAGTGAAGCAACTGGACCTGTTGGAATAACTGTTCAGATTATTGTCCTCGTCTGGTGTTTAAGTATGTTAACATGTGTACATACAGCACACCGGACGAGGACGAAAGGTCGAATAATTATTCCAACCGTGGCACCAATGCCTCATCTCGATCAATCCGTAAAACCACAGCTGGACCCCGATGTTTACCGATCTCCGTCATACAGCACACCGGACGAGAACGAAAGGTCAAATAATTACTCCAACCGTGGTACAAACGCCTCGCCTCAATCGTTCCGCAAAACCACAGCTGCGCCTCGTTGCTTACCGATCTCCGTAACGCGCCGAGTGGGGGCAACGCCGTCATGAACGGCGAGTTCGGTCCAACGATGTGGGGCGGCGGAGGTCATTCCAAGGGCACTCCAGCTGATGGCTCTTTCAGAGCTCTCGCAGATAACGGAAAGTGATCCCGGGAGAAGTTCCGCAGACAAAGAGCGCATCAGGCGGTCTGAATGGAGAGCCTGAACCAGGCCATGGACTCCACACTCCTCCAGCCTAGCTGCACGTCAGCGTCGCCACACCATGCCGTTGCTT